GAAATCATGACTTTAAATATCTCCAAATAAAGCTTATCTCTCAGCCTTCCAGAGAGAGCATTTAAAGTGGAAAAATGCAAGACTAGCAAAAGTTTTATTAGCAAATTAATCTGTGCTTGTTTACTTTGTAAAATACAACAGAATTATTGGTTGCACTCTGGAGCAAGCACTTAGGCAGTAATGAAATAAAAACCATGAACTGCACAGCGATTACAGAGGAAAATCAGGGACTCCAGGCAAATGGCCCCACCTGGGAATCCATGGACCCACTTGCAGTCCCTCCCCATTTCCCTTCTGACAAAGCTGCACCTTCTCCACTTACAGAAGTTAATAGGACCTAGTGCTCAACTGTAACTCTGGCGATGCATTAAAGGAAGTCCTAAAAACAAGAAACAGAAATATTTCCAAACAGCTAAGTGAGTATCAAGTACCTCTTTACAGACCCTTCAAAAAAAAAACCCAAAAAACCTTTTTTCATTATGTGGCCAGCTGGACTTTAACAAAATGCACAAAGAACTTGAGTTCTAAACTAAACCTAAACTAAAATCCCTTTAGTTGTACCTACAAGGTTTAAGCTCCATTGATATGAAACCTCCAGAAAGTTGCTGTCTGCCAACTTTCAATCTCCAGCTCTTCCTCAAAGCAGAAATTACGTGCCTAGAGAGTACCACCACTATTTGTATTTTATTAGCTACATTTCTAAGCAACTGATTTCCCCCAGTAGAAGATTTTATCATTTATTTTCTAGACAGAGAGGGCTCAAGGTCAGGAATTCATCCAGAAGAACGTGTTCTCTGCCTGCAGCAGCTCCCACTGAGGTATGCCTGATAAACCTCTGTCAGCAGGACAGAGGTCAGTTTTCTGTTCAAACTCAGGTGCTGAAAGAAAATCACTGCACTTGAGTGTTCTGGTACCTCCACTAGACTTCTCAAATCAAATCCAGCCTTTCAAAACTTCCAGGAAATCCATATTTTAAATGCTATCCTGTCAGATAAGGTTCACAGTTCACCATTTTCCTACACACATTCCCCAAGTGAAAAGCACACACAAGGACAAATGGGAATCCATCACAGCCCTAAAGCCAAGCAGATGATCTGCCCTGCTCAAATTTAAGTATTTCTAAACTTACCATGTCCGTGCCTGAAGATTCCTGGCCCATCTCAGGTCATCTTAAAACACCAGAGTGGAAAAGCACTTCCTGGCTTGCTTTACTTGCCTGCCAAGAGCACATTGTAACTACAATCCACACACCTTCTTCCCCTCTTGCACTTCCAAGGATCCATCACTCACCATGGGCTGGCATTCCACCCTCTCTGGAACAACTGCACACCCCTGACCAACAGCTCCCCAGCACACTCCAGATAAACACACTCAGCCCCAAACTCCTGAGTCCACAGGGCCATTTTCCTCAGGAATGGATGATGTTGAAGGCTGGCATTTGTTTCCAATTAACATTCTTCCCATTACTGCCTGTGTGGTAGCCACTGATATTCCAAGTGGCTTTCCAACCTCTCTGTCCCCTCCATTTCACACATTTGAGCCTTGGACTCCTAAAGCCAAAGTCAATCTTGTGACAGCATCCCAAATTCTCTGCTGTTCTCAGTAGCAAGTACCAAAACCACCTTTCTACTGCTCAAGTGAGAACGCAGGAGTGTGACTGCCCTGCAGGAAGGAAGGCAGGGTACTTGGCATAGGGAAATGCTCTCCCTACCTCTCTCCAGGCCTGAAAAGGCCAGGTAATATTAAGTCTCAGAGCACACAGCACAATCCCTCTTATTTTCATGAGGGATTTGAGTATGGGAGCTGGAAGATTTCCTCCAGAAGCCCAGTCCCTACAAATAAGGCAGTAGTGGTCTCTTCCACTTTCAAACAAAAGCAGGGGATTATATTAAGTAAAACAGGCTAAAAAAAGTTACTTACTATTACTCCAACTGCAAAGTTAATTAAGGCAATCAAATTATGAATAGGTATCTTGACAAATGAATCCACAGACCTCAACTCCTTAAATAAAGGAACATGGGGATGTGTGCACTCACCTTAATGATGAACCTAATTTACACAGGCTTCTTCAAACATCCCTACCCAAACCCAAAGCCCATAACCACAGTTTTGTGCAGCAAAAAGGGATCAAAATCATCGAGGCACCACTGATGTGAAGCACTAATCCCTCATTCTCAATTTTTCTGTGATCCCTGAAACTCAGAAAATAGAACAGAACACCTCACTCAGGAAAGCAGCAGCTGCTGTTGCTTTTTAGCACTATGCTGAGCTTCAAAGGAATGGCGAATACCTTATTTACCATTAGAAAGCAGTCAGATTAATTAAATATAGGTAGGTTAATAACACCAAGTGAAAAAGGGATCCTGCTGGCAGCTGGCCACACGGCTGCACAAACTTTGGAGGGCTTTGCAAAGACAACCAGAGATTGTTCCAGACATCTGCCTGCTTCCCTTGGGCATCCTCAGCCACAAAGAGGGAGCAGCAAGAAATTCTTCCCATTATTTTCAACTCAGCAGTGTTGAGCACTGGGTTACTTCAAAGGGGCACAGCGGTGAGGTGGAAAAGCAGTGTACACTGTGAAGGACAGCCTGATTAAGCTCTGAAACAGCACCAAGATGAAAGACAGAGGAGGAAAAAAGTTTTAGTCCAATGCTTGACTGCCTGTCCTGGATTTCAGAACCCAGCAACCCTGCAGCTGACAGGAGCAGGAGCACCCCCGTGTGTACAGCAGTGCACTAAACAGTACTTTGAAGATTTTTACTTTCCAGAAACCATGGAACCATGCCAGAAATGACACTCAGTCCAGGAAAACAAATTCTTGCACTTCAAGGAATCCATCCTAGTAACTGAGCTTTGGATGAGGAGTTTGGATTCCCCACTAAAACAACCCCAAAGAACCACCAGGTGGACTGGCAAGGTGTCAAATTCTCTGGCAGACAGCAGCATCCCCTCCACCTGCCTGTAAAAGTTGTTGGATCATACTGATATCTCATTCCTCAATGGGACAGGGGCCAGCTCATCTCACTTACAGTGTTTCAGGCCAATAATCAGAGGGGGGCTAGGAAGGAAACTGCCCTCCTTTCTAAAACCACAATTATTTTTCACTACTGGGTTTTGCTCATTTGCTTACAATCTCTTTGTTTTCAGCAAAGCCAGAACAGGAAGCAAACAGGAGAGGTGGAGACACAGTTAAAACAGAGCTATAAACCACATTACTTAAATAATAAAGGGTCATTCACAAAGAATATATTGTACAGGCTTTTTTAAGACACTTCAGCTGGGTTTCTGAGAGAACACAGCAACAGGTTTTTCTGATTTCTTCTCCAGAAACCTCCCTTAGCCCTTCCTCAGTCAAGGAGCATTCATTTGACCTGACACACATCATTAAATGTATCTTTGCTCCATCTTTGTCTCATCGACATGGATTGACAACAGAAAAACTGCATTACCATAAAAAGGCAAACAGCAAATCTCCGATCCTCTTTCCTAGAAAGAGCATCTAACACTGAGACAAGGATTTTAGTCCAGACAATGTATTGGAACAGAGTCATTACTATGGCTGGGAACAGAGGTAAGCTTTTGTGTAAACAATGTCTTTTTGCATGGCACAACCACAAAGACAACAAGCATCAAGTTCTCCAAGTTCACACTGTATCTTCAGGACAGAGGATGAAACAAGTATCACCCAGCCAGGATATTTCAGCACTTCTGAACAGAACCCATTCAGGGAATCTGGATTGCCTGACTTCAGTTCCTTAAGCTTAGGGTCCCTCCTAAGTCCATGCAGTATTGCAACAACCCTCTTCCAGACCTAAAATAATGCTGTGATAAATCCACCACCAAATACACTCACTGGAGAAACCTTATTCTCTTTTATCTCGCATTGGCAGGTCTTGAGTGTAATTTTATAAGGTTAAAATGGTGTAAAACAAACGTAAACAAATGGAGAACTGCAAATCTAGCAAAGCCAGCTTCCTGCATTGAACATATGGGGTCCCGACAGAGCTGTGAGGCATTTTTTTCAGTGACCAGTTTCACAGCCCTCTTTATGTTTCCCAAAAAATATAATTTTATTTTTTTACTTGACACAAGACGTAGCTGTTGCCAGCCTGCCCTGTTCCCAGGCTGGGAATGTGAGCCCCTCTCAGGTGAGACTGCTGAGTGAGGAGAGCTGACTTCCCTTAGCACTGCATGGAGCACCAGCTCCCTCTACCACCAGCTTGCCAGACAAAAACTCACTCCCCTTTCCACAGTCTTTTCTCAACACCTTCAGATGAGACAAAATGACAATATTCATTCAAAGAAACCTCTAAGACCCTTTAAAAATCTAGAACATTATCTTACCTGTAATGCAGACCTGGAAAGGGCTTTATCACATACCTTCTCATCTCCTTACCTGTGGGTTTTGAATTGTTAGACACCATTAGATGAGATGTTTTTGGCTGCTTTGCCTTCAGTTTCACACCTGTTTTGGGAAGTTTTTTTGGTACAAAAACATCCTGGCAGCATTCAGACATAACTATCACTGATGTTGTGAGACTCCTAACAGTGAAAACAGTGGAAGACCTCAGTGAAACATCCCTACAGGTAAAGTGCAGTGTTGTGAGTCCAATGACATCTGCACTTTTTCTTCTAAACTGTTGGTTTTAGTCAGCCCTATCTGTCAAGTTCCACTAGGTTATCACAACAACTCAAATAAATGTTTACAAGTCTGCATTAAAAATTTCTGCTTCTGAATTTTTGTTAGTTTACATCACAGTAGTAGCTTGGAATCTTGAAAAAAGTTAAGGTAAATAATTAATTCATGATCATTTTAACAAAAAAAACCCAAACCTTTTCGCCTTTAGGATTTAAGATTATAAGAGAGGCACTGTACATGAGTCTCAGCTTTATTTAACACTCACTTGGCCAATTTCTTATGATAATTCAGGAGACCAACCTGGATTTCTGGAATACTGCAGCTACAAAAGGACTCCCTTGAAACAAAGCTTACCAGTAAAGACACATTTTTGCTGACCAATCCTTCCTCGTGGCCAGCCAGCATTTTATTTGGAAAATAAATATACAGCAAATAAGTACATCTCACTAGAACAGCATGAATTCACTGCTGATGCAGCTCCTCCTGGAGCTCAGAGGTGCTGTTTCCTGAAGCTGTACTTGGTGGCCAAGGCAGCCAGCATGTCCCTGTAGGGCGTGTCCGAGTGGGACGGGGTCCTGGGGATGCGGCACAGGCGGCGGAAGGCAGGAGAGCGCAGCAGGAGGTTGTGGGACAGCCCCACCAGGCTCGAGGACAGCCAGTACAGCGCCATGGACTGCAATAACACAAGCACACGTCAGCTCCCTGGAGGCAAGCAAAGCACCAGCTTCAGGCAGCTCCTCCTGAACCACAGCTGTGGGCTACTCCCAGGGATTGATTAAAATAACTCACCTAAACCACTCCTCCTGCTCTCATCTGCAATAATGGCTTCCATGTGAAATGTAACTGTCTGTCTCTGCACTCCTCTGGGGAAAAGTGCCATTTACACTGACACTTGACAGCTCTTAAAATAATTCATATTAAGCTTCCTTCAATTTCTGTGTTTGAAACTATAATTGAGCCAAACAACCAGACACTTTATTTTTACTAAGAACACTCTGCAGTAGAAAACCTGGTAAAAATGATAAGCGTTTGAAGAAAGGAAGATGTGGAAAATTTCCTAATTTAAGAACTACACTGGTTTCCAGTGAACAAATATTCGCCTGTGTGTCTTGACAAAAAGCTTTCCTCTCCTTTTGCAGGCTACATGAAGGACATTAACACCTTTCAAGTTTGCAAAGTCTTCCTCCTTGAACAAAAACATCCCAAAGGCAACGAGATTTAAGCATACACACAGAACATGTGACTTTTCTTAAGCACACAGCAGCAGAGACATGAAACACGTGAGGCCTTTGGGCTGTCCTTGAAGCACCAGAACAGCCCAGGCACAGGTGACATCCCAGAGGTCACCTGGGTACTTACAGAAGGCACTGTGGCAGCAATAGGGATCATCACCACGGACACCGCACGGAAGAAGTTGGTGACAAGCCTCTGGATCCGTGAAATTGGCATTTTTGTTTGGGAAGCAAAGATCTGAAAGGGGAGAAACTCACAGTTACAAACAAACTCTTTTTGAAATGGCTGTAGTGAGGATTAACACCCAGAAATCTCATCAGAGCAGCATTCTAAAAGAAACTGCAGTCAAGACTAATATTACTGAAGCTCAAATAGATCTGAGACATGTCCCATCCGACCTGGAGGCCTCTGAACTAAAACACCTAACACATTAAAATACACAGAGCAAAGAGATTGTGTTTCACTTCTGCCCAGTGCATTTGAAGCAGTGATAATCTGCAGCCACCTTTACATGTTAGCCCTCTGCAGTCACTGCTGCTCGTTTATCCCACCAACATACCTCCACCACCAGCAAATTCACCAGCCCCAGGAACACTGGCAAAATCCATGTGGAATCAGGTGTTGTGAGGTCTGTGAACCACAGTGCTCCTCCCGAGGAAAACTGTTCTTGCACTACAGGGAAAAAATTGAAGAAAATACAGAACTCAGTATAATTTGCTGTCTCAAGTGAGCCAGAACTGTACCATATGTTAAATCAGAGACCAAAGTTTCTAGGTATGTTTTATCCACATGGTAAGTACAATTAAAGCCGAAATCTTTGGTCTAACGCTCTACTACCAATATAAGTAAGAAAAGTGAGAGATACAAGCTGAGATCTGGCTTAGCTCATGACAGCCACAGACAGGTAAATCTGCAATAAAAAATACTTCAATCTCAAATACTTTACAAGTCAGTGAGGAAATAGGAATGCAGTAACCTACAGCGTTTATTTCCTGATTTTGAGAAAATTATACTCTTCTTAGTAGCTGTATAACTAGCCATATCTTTGCTTAAAAGAACAAAGTATAAACTCTTGTCTAAAAAATCAGTATATTTCTTTTTAAATTTAAAAGACTCTCACACATTCACCTTGTCTACAGTATTTCACATGGAAAGAGAATGGAAAGAGAAGAAAAACAGATTAACAGTGAGTGTAGTGTGGCACGTGTAATAGGATTTGCTAAACAGGATTGTCAGACTACATTAAGTTTAGAACTAATTTCAAATATTTATTACTTATTATTGATATTAATTAATTAATTAAGTTTAAACTATATTAGGTTTAAAACCTGAGTAGCTGACTGATTTTTATATCAGCTTGTACACCAAGCTTGGGACATTGGGCTCTTTAACCAACAAGGTGCCTGTGAAGGCAGCAAGTGGATAAGAGGTGACAGTGAGAGAAGATTTGTGTCCAGGTACAGCACCTATTTGTGGGACAACACCCTTTTTCTGACCCCAAAACCCTCCACAAGTGCATTTCCCCACCTTCAGAGCCCAGGGCACCGATGCTGCAGTTGCGCAGAGCCAGGGACACGCACACCCACATGGGCACCTGCACCCACAGCAGCAGGGTGGCCTTGAAGGGGTGGCAGTTGTCCCGGATGTACAGTTCCGTGACAATCCTCCGCATGTTCCGGGCAAAGTGGGACCTTTGGGAGAGGAAAGCACAAGTCTGAGCTTTGACATGGACAATGGCTGAAAGGCAACAGAATAAATAAATAAATCACAGGCGGGGAAAGAAAATCTAAGCTGTGGGCCGCGGCAGAACCTTGCTGCCATAACGCTGTTTGTGGGATCTTCCTTCCTGCCACACCCCACTCCAGAATGGATTCAGGAGGTGTGGGCAATCCCCCTCATACCTGGCCACCTTTTCAGACCACCCCAGCTGCTTTCCACGCACTGAAACTTCATAGCGAAGGCGCTGGGCAAGCTCCTTAATCTCAGGCTGCAGGTTTTCCAGCTAGCTAAAGAAAAGGAGAACTGGTTGGGCACAGTGGCAGGTATCACTCCCTCCCTCCCTCACCTCTGTTGTTACTTATCCCTAGTAACTCGACTCCTGAACAAGTATTAGACTTATTAATTATCACGGTAAAATTTAATATCTGTACAGGAATTAATACATATTAATAAAGTACAGGAATTAATACACATTGCCACTGTAAAATTCAATACCTCAATGGGTATTACACAAATTAATCACTTTCTATGGTTTAATACCAGCACAGGCATCAAACGTATTCATTACCACTGTAATTTAACACTTGTAGGGGTAGGAAACACCTGTGAGGGAAAAGGCATCTTGTTAATGGCTCGCTCAACATCAGTAAACACCTTTCATCCTTAAACAAAATAACCACGCGAAGATAACAGTGACAAGTAATTGCAGTAACAATCAAAGATACTCTCTTACTACTGCATGAAATGAAGACAGAATTTTAATCTTTTTAGATTTTATACTTTTTAAAGAAGAAAGTGATTTCTATTACAGCTGAAACCAGGGCAATTCTTAACAAGCATCTTTTTGCCTGCATTCAGGACTTGTAATCAGCTACTCCACTTAAGAAGACCCAGCTGTAATGGCACTTCAATGTTAAAAAAACCCCAAACCGACAATTAAAAAAACTAATAATAACATACAAATATAAATATATAATAATAGAAAATACATATATGTTTAAGAAAAATCTTAAATTAACAAACCAAAACCACTACAATATAATATAATAGAATGTATTATTTACAATATACTGTACGTAGTTTACAAATATATTGTGTTACATATGATAAAATACGTAAATTGTATATATATATAAATAAAATGAAGAATAATAAATTAAAGGCCATGAGGACACAACTCGGCAGTGAACAAAGTCACCACCCACAGCATAAGAGACCTTACTACATGAGAGTGCAACACACGCTCACTTCTACAACCAAAAAAAGCACAAACCGTAAAAATTCGTTAAAAAAAAATCCCAAACGAACGCCCCCAAACCCGCTGCAATAAAGGAATTGCGATGTTCATTCCACGGCCCCCTCAGCCCCTCCACCGGTCCTTCCCTCAGAGCCCCCCAGCGCTCGCACCTTAGCCAGCAGCCGCCCCTGCTGCGCGGCCAGCGGCAGGGTCACGGCGGTGCGCAGCAAGGCGGCCCCGCCGGCGATGGCGGCCCAGCAGGGCAGCCCGGTGGCCTCCTGCAGTGCCGCCAGCCCGCCCTCGGCCCAGTGCACGGGCGGGGACCGCGCCGCCCACTCGTACCAGCCCTCGGTGCCGCCGTGCCCGCCCGGCCCCGCTCCCGCCGCCGCCAGAGCAGCCAGGGCCGGCGCCCGCACGCCCGCCCGCGCGAGCCGCCACATGCCGACTGGCTCCGCCCCCTCCGCCGCAGCGCATGCGCCGCCCCGCCCCGCCCCTTGGCGGCTGAGGGCACGGGGAGGGCGGCGCCTCACGGCGTGCCCTGCGCTGGGTCGGAACCCGGCTGCCCCGGGCCGGGACACCTCCCGCCACATCACAGAGTGTGTGCTGACTTGGAAAGGAAACACGGAGTCCAACAGCTGGCACTGCACCGGGCATCCCCAGGGATCACACCGTAGGACTGGCAGTGTTGTCCAAACCGGCTTTGAGCCCTGCCGGGGTTGGGCCACTGTCTCACCCCTCTTCCAGTAAATACTTTCTCCCAATAGCTAGTCTAAATTTCCCCTTTTTCCACTGTACCCATTGCTTGTGGGCTTATCACTGCAGTTCCTGACAGGAGTCCCTCTTGGGCCACTTCAGATACTGGAAAGCTGCGGTGAGGAGCTCACACAACCTTCCCTTCTGCAGGCTGAACAGCCCGAACTCTCTCAGCCTGATTATATTCTACAGTAATTAATCATAACCAAACACTTCATCATTCCACATGAGGAATGTTCTTCCCAGCCAGGTTCTGACCCATCTCCTTATCCCTTTCTGTGGCAAGGAGAGGTCAAAACATCCCTTAGACCATGCACTGCACTGTGTTCTCTTCCTGTTCTAACCCTGGTCTGCTCCCTTCCCCCAAATAAACAGCACCTGCCCGCTCCCAAAAGAGTGCATTGCTTGGTTTACTGGACAAACAAAAAGCATTACACTGTGGGGAAAAAAACCCCAAAACTATCTGGAAATAAAAATGGTCCAATTCCCTCCACCCAGGATCTCCTGTACCCAGCCCACTGCCACAGTGGTGGCATCAGGCCTGTTACTGCCCCAGGCATGGATGTAACTCCCAGGTCAACAAAATACTCTGGAATTCATGGTGCTAATAAATACTGAGCACTATTTCTCAGTAGGATTAATAATTAGTAACCCTAAACAGCACTAAAGCCTGCCGCAAATGACTGCAGCAGCAGAGGGGAAGGGCACTCACCCACACCCTGATAAGGTGTGAAATGGAGTTTTTTTCCAAGCAGTTCCTCACTCTGGGATCCATTTTGCTAGCACCAGATCTTCACAGGATGTATTTCAGGAGATCAGACTGCTGGGAAAAGGAACTTGCTTTTATTCAGAGCAGCACCTAAGGACAGGTATACAGCCTTGGGTATGCCAAAGGTTTGGGGACACCTCAAATACCACAATAGTTAAAAGGCAGTAGTTTCTGTGGCCAGCTGAGGTGTTTGCTTGGTTTTCTAAGGAGGAACGATAATAAAACCATATAATACTTCTTAAATCTGAGCAGTAGATCTCCTTTGAGTGCTCTCTAAGGGAGCTGTACAGGGATCCTCACTGGATCTGGGTCACTTCTCCCCAGCCCGGCCTCACAGGACCCACCCTCCTTCATCTCCTGCTACCTCTGCCCACAGGTGACAGATCCGAACAATGTACACGGGAATTCCCACTTGGACTCTTCCAAATAAACCTACATGGGCCTGATTCTGGAAGAGACCTGCCTCTGGAGCCTTCAGCAAGGAAGCTCTCCTCAAATGTCAAACAAAGAATGTATGTTTTCTCAAAAAAATCCAACACACATTTGGAAAAGGCCCTCTGATAATGCCTGGGGTGTTTTTCTTTTTATCACTTATTTAAATTACACAAGTAGAAAAGTTATGCTTATTAATAGTTTAATGTATGAAGGAAACATCCAGATTTCTGAATATGAAGGTACATATCTCACATTAATTTAAGTCTACATAAAGTAGAGCCTCTATAACTGACATATTGAAATTTACTTTCTGCTTAGCCATTTGTTATGTAAACAATTGTACATTTATTTGCCATTCTAAAACTTCAGGATCAAGTTTACATAATTTTGCTAAATTTCTGTGTTTGCTCAGAAGCAGTTTACAGTACTAAAACCAACCAGCCAAAGAACAGCTTCAACAGAAAGTTATGTCAAAAAAAAAAAAAAAAAAAGAGGAGAAAAGGAAAGAAGAAAGTCTAACTAAGTTGAAACATATGATGGTGGGGAATGGGTGGTCACAATGTTCACAGAAAAAGGTCAGTTAGTAAGTTCTTCTGCAAAAAGCCTACACACTTCAGTCAAGCACATCAGTAGAATGATCTGGGAGCACATAAACTGTTTCTGCCAATTGTGGTTTCCTCTGCAAAAAAAGGAATCTCAAGGCCAGCACGTTGATCCCACTCAGCCCAGTTGGTTCATATGCACACTGTTCATGTGAGGTGTCCAGGTTCCAGTCCACACCTGCAAGAGAAACCCAGGTTAGCACCGTGCTTTGGGCTGCTCCAGGAGGGCACAGCTCACAGGGGCTGCAGGGTCACACTTCTGGCCAGGACCATGAACAGGGCTCTGGGGGTGCAGCAAATGATTGCTCAGCCCAGCTCCCAAATCCCTCCACATTCAGAGCAAGGGATGTGCACTCTTCTTGACCCTAAGTTCAGACAAACAACAAATTGATTCCTGCCACCTTATCTTCCCCTAACAATTTCAGCTCTGGGGAATCCCAGGTCTAACCCAGTAAAGCTTTCTTTGGGGGACAAAGTTTCCTCATGAAACCAGAAATCACCTTGCAAGGATGAGAAGCCACCTCAGAGCAATACCTAAACTGTGGCCAAATCCCCTCTCCTTCATACCGATGGCCTAGCAGAGCTGGGAGTGCTCCCCACAGCTTGAATCATTCCCAAGCGAATTCAGCCCAGAAACATCTTTATTTAGTAACACTGTAACAGGGATCACTGTCCAATTAAACACAATCACAGGATACAATCTAACCAGAGCTACTGATGTTCCATTATAGTATTAGTTCCTGAGTAAGAACAAGAGGTTTAGGGGAATTAATCCCTCTGCCTAAATTATATTCAGTGGACAAGCCAGGCAAGATCAGAGCAGCAAAGAGCTACTTACTCCCTTCCTTGGGGTGCTCCTAATGCAGTCACAACATCCTCAACTACAGAGCCCAGCAGCAGCCCTGTTGCTGTGTGCCCTTCTTGGGAAGGGAAAGCTCAACTAACAGCACATAAACTGGCTTTTCATATGAAACTTTGCCCCAAGACTTGTCTTCCCAAATGTCTAACTACACAGACAGGAATCATTATACATTTTGAGTGAAATACACAGTGCAAAAAAGTGGAGCAATTACCGTCTGAGGCCCATTGTTTTCTGTGGAATTAGAAACCATCTTTATCAGCGAGTTCCAAGATGGGTCAGCAGCATGAGGCCCGTTAAAGATGGGGCCTCCAGTACCATCTGTGATGGGGGCTACAGGAGGAATTATGGCATTCCCATACACAGAAAAAGGCATTCCCTGGGGGGAAGGAAAGGAACAGTCACAGGATGATTTAATGAATGCCGCTGCATGGCCAGCAGGATAGAAAGGAGCCAAGGAGGTCATTACCCCAACTTTTGGGAAGTCCATGTATCCTGCAGGGACGGGCTGATGGAATGTACCGGAAGGCGCTACGATGCCCGCGCTGTCTCTCTCCATGGCTTGGTGCGAGAAGACGCCTGGGTCGGACATGGGCCTGTGGATCATGTGGCTGCCCATGCCGCTGTGACACCAGTCCACTTTGTCTGCCAGCAGCACAGAGACACGGCGTTAGCCACGGCACCCCTGCCCCTGCCAGCCCACAGAGCTCAGCCCCCACCCACTCCACAGTGCAGGAGCACATGGCATGGATGGACGGATGGACGGACGGATGGACAGCACCAGGAGTACCACCTGCAGGGCCAGGAGCCCTGAGCCGCTGCCAGGAGTTTGGGACAGTTACCTGCAACCAGAGCGCTGCCCCTGCAACTTTCCTCCATTTCAACAGCAAAGCTGGAATTTGGGCTAACTCTCCCTCCTCCAAAAACCTCAGATCCTCCAAAAACCTCAATTCCTCGTGCCTTTGGTGCTGTGGAGAGGGTATGTACACTATGAAGACTATTTGCTCTACTTCACTACCATTCTTCCATTAATTACTTCGTATTCTAACGGACACAGAAGGATCTGCGCAAACCAAAACCAGGAAAGGACCAGCTGCAGATATGTGCTCATGTCCTTATTCTGTGAATTCAGAGGCAGCTTGGTATTGGTGCTACAGTTAAAACTCCAGACATTCAAAAAATCCAATTTTCAAAACAAAACATTAAAAAAATATTATTTGGAGAAGGGGTACAGAAACATTTCTGAGGCACTCCAATACTCAAGTAGAGAAGAGCCAATCCCAATGTGAACTGAAAATCACAATGTTGAAGTCATTGACCAAAGCAGAAAGAAAGCAGCATCCCAAAAGCCAAGAGAGGTACAAAAGACAACTTTCACAGCTACACAAGGCAAATAAATAGTGAATTTCTAAAGCTTTATCTGGGAAAAGACCATCAGTGAAGTAAAAAAAGAGTTTGTATTTGGGGAAAAATTCCAGCACAGTCAGTCAATTAAAACCTTCAGCTGTCTGGATTCAGTCAAGGAGCAGAACAGATTGCTCTGAACGGTGGAGCAGTTCCAGTCCTTGCAGGTTTTCCAGAGCAGATTGGATAAAGCCTTGAGCAATACAGGCAGAACTCATGGCAAACCCTATTTTGTGCAGGAGGCTCACAGGACATCCAGAGGTCCAATCCAACACAGCCTCAATATTCATACCCCCCATCCCAAGCAAAAAAAACCCTAAAGAAATTAAAAATAAAACTTCCCACAAAAAACCCCCAATTAATATGGGAAAAGTTAATCAGTCTCCCAGAAATTGCATCCAAGACTCCTGACAGGTTTAGTAAGAAAAGCTGTAAGATCACTAACTGAAATTGTTAATAAAATCAAAAATACTAGATTCTATGTGACTCCAGGAGAGCCAAGAGCCTTGTGCTAGTAGAAGGCGGATGGCTGAAAAGAATAAAGGAAACGCAAATGTGGAATTTTATCACTTTATAAAAGCACCATCCTCAGCACAAAAAGTTCTACCTTAGCTACAAATTAAATATTAACTCCTACCATACAAACAACCTCTTCATCAACAAGAAACTCCAGACAGTTATCTTGTGACACCTCCATTTCCCCTCTTCCTCAATTCAATGTTCCTCACTGTGCTCATGCCTGGAAGGCCTGTTTTTATTTTTCCTGCTCCTACTTGGGAGTACCAAATCTTCATAGCCAGGACATTTCAGAACCCCCAAGGGCTTCAGAAACCTTGTTAAAACAATTAAGTGGACAGGAAGGCTAAGAAAAGTCCTTGTTCCAAAGCCTTTGGAAAGAACATTTCTGTGTTTTCAGGCACTCACTTTGGCATGCTCCTGTGCTGAAGACAAACACAATGGTGTGATCAACTCAAGTGCACCTATAACACCACATACCTTGACTGCCACCTATACCTTCGAAGGACCAGATCCCACTGTGGCCCACCGGAGCAGCCAAGTTGCTCCCAATTACAGAAGGAGTCGACGTTCCAGTTTGTCTAATGCGTGCAGACCGTTCAGTCCCAATGGGAACAGGAACTTTTCTGTCCTGAGAAACGTTACTGGGCTTTTCTGATCCCAAGGACACTGCTGAAGGGGTGGGAGAGGGTGCTCGTACTCCAGAGGACACGGACTGAGCAGGAGATTCTGCAAGGAGAGCAACAGGAGCATTTAGTGATGGCAGCCAGACCCCACAAACCTGCCCTCCATGTCCAACTACTGACAAGGGGAGCTGGTTAATGCCACATTCATCCACCTCAGGATCATTTTATTTCCAGAGCACAGAGATATTCACCACCATATAGCCCCTTATATAAAACACTTATCATGCCCTGGTAGCTCAGCCACTGGAGGACACACACCACAAAACCTTAACTAAGCATCACTGCCTATCAGAAACAGAGGATTTGATGATTATATCCTGAACCAGAGCTCAAATAAGCCCACATAAACCTGCCTTTGTTGTGTTTGTTTTTTCTTTTTCTTTTTGATTTGTTCCCTGGGGTTTATCATTGTTTTTGCCAATAAAACAGATTAACACGTTCCCTAAATTAGCCAGCACTCCACAGCTTGTTTTCTGTCCAAAAAATTCCTAACTGCAGGTGCCAGAGGTAGAGGAGGAACCAGAACCTGCCCTAAGGATTTTATCCTGGAACTCCTTATACAGTTCTGCCAGACAATTTTATTTATACAGCAGGTTCTCAGCAGCTCCCTGCTGACCAGAACTCACCATTTGATGCTGATGAACATGGAGGCAATAAACTAAGAGGGGAAAAATGCTGTCTGTTGAAATTAGCAGCTGCAGGCGCGCCGCCCAGAGGTGTCCCGGGTGCGTAGATCTGCCCTCCCGACAGGTTCGAGGCAAAGGTCCCCAGGTGTGTAGAAGAAGGTGTTACAGAAGCATAGGGAGAATCCATACTGACAATACCTACGAGAGAAAGTGGGCACAAGTGACTCCCACAACTCCAACACTCCAGCAAGAGGTCCCTGGTAGCATGGAAATAGAAAACTTTTATCCAATCCATCTTTAGGGGCATGTGTTACAATTTTCCAAAGGCAACTGGAGCATTAAGCT